TTACGTTGGTATGTAAATGTTTCATAATACAGTCAGGGTAACCGAAGGGTATTAAATCAGCCACCCCAATAAGCTATATGCAGCTCTGTAGTGGAAGGAAGAGATCAGCATATTTCAGTAAACAACTGGTATTTTTAAAGTAGTTTTTGATTCAGTTTACCGTTGTTATGTCATCTTAGCAATAGTTAATACTCGGGACTATAGAAACATTACTAATACTCAGATTTTATAAAGGCCTCATATTAACAAATAGGAAAATTCTCATACATTCCAGTGCTTTTTTGTGTCTCAATTATCATTCCTAAATATAAATATAATTGATAATCCAATACGTTGGAGTAAGCAACTAATATGATAAAACTAGATTATTTAAACACTTTGTATCAGTCTAGTTACAAGTAGACTGATTTAACTGTCCAAAATGACAGTGACAGCTTCTCAACTAAAAGTCAGTTAACTTAGAAAAATCAACACTACTAAAATCTTCAGTCCGTGCTTCAACTCCAGTTTATTACAGTAATTATGTCCGGTACATTAAGAAATCATCAAAGATAAATCTTTTTTATTACAGTTAATATTTGATGAAAGCTAAATATCAACCTGGTAAAAAATATCACCTCATTAATACACGGTTATCTTTTCAAAAACAGTAGACGGATTATATCATTTTAATACATCGAAAATACCTGGTATGTTTTTTTTTATTATAAGTTTTTATTTTACAACGACAAAGGTGATTCGACTGAATGAACATTTTAATAGAAGTACTAAGTTTATCTGATTTCGATACATTAATATATTAATAAGTTCTAGGCAAGTTCAACCAAATGCGCATAAGTACATCAAGGATTTTTACTTGTTAAATCATTTGTGGATAATATATTCAGCAATCTTTACAAATCAAAGGAAAATGTATCTAATAAAGCTATGACAGAAAGTATAAAATACAGAACATCTTGATCATAAGAATCACAAGAAATTTGTAGTTATTTTTCGATTCAATACGATGATTTTGTGCATATTTCTCATTTAAAATCAATGTATATCGCCAAGTTACAGTAGGTCAAGGAACTTCAGAAAATCGGAGAAAAAACTGCTGTTTAGTTGTGATCTGACTTCTCTGTAGCACACATCAAAGACTCAAAACGAAATGGAAATTGTGTTCTTCAGATCTCGTAACGAGTGTGATAATTTTTGACCGGTAGCCCAAATTTTAGATTTCAGGTGATTAGAGTATGCAGGGGTTGGATTTAATAAGTCATGACAACTATTTACAAGTGACCTCATCTCATGATGAAAATTGTTGCCAAATTATCTAACATTTTCACGAAAGTAGTGTGTCATTCATTCAATTCTGACTATTTCTTAATAAGATTCCCACAGTAGAGAGAAAGTATCAGGTACTGCATGATTAGTATATATATCAGATTATTTATTTTGACACTAAAGTTTTATTCTTTCCTATCATACATCTTAGTTTGTTGTTTACTTTTGGGTGAAGTTATCAGGGAAGTCACTAATTCCATGCTATTGAAATTTGGTAGTCTTATATCAAATTAACAATGATTTATTTTTTTAAGGTCTGTGAACAATTCACATTTTAAAGCAATTTTCATCACCAGTTAACATTTCTCAAATAGGCTGATTGGAGACCTGAAGAGAACTTCATAGCAATTTTGATTGTAGTTTATATACTTTCACTAAAATGCTCTCAGTATTTACACATAATTTCTCATAATGAAACTCAACGACAATTCAGGATTCAATCGTTCACATCTCCAAATTCAATAGATTTGCAATTCAGCTCTATCCTATTAAGTAGTTGATTTTTTTTCATAAATCTACCTTAAAACCAATCGAATGTTCTGTATTTTACAATAAAATGTATCCGTTTAATATTTTACTTTAGTATCCATTATCTAATAGTAAAAGATCAGACAACTTGGTAAAATAATTTAATTAATGAACACTATCATTAATATCTATCTAAAAATCATATTAATAGTCAATGCATAAATGCTTTTCTGAATAGACAGTTTACAGTCCATAAATCTGTGAATGCGTTATACTCCTATTAGTTTGTTTACAAGAATGTGTTTACATAACTAATTAAGGTAGCGACTTCATGAGTTTATCCAATTAAGAAATATTTACTATCAGTTTAACATTGATCTTATGTGCTTATCATATACCACTTGATCACCTATACTAAAATGAAATATCGTTATTGACATAAGTTACTTACTTAGTGAACATTTCCAAATGTATCATCGAACGAAGCAAACTCAATCCATGAATTGATACATCGATTCAATTAGAGTAAGGTCACATTGAATAAATTCTAATTTTCTGTACTACCAAAGAGTTGACGGTCAAGAAAAGGGGTTTGGAAATAATATTTTCATATAGTAGTCGAATAAAATAATAATAATAATAATTATTATTATCATTATCATAAGGAAATTATTTTCTGTGTACACTTAATCATTCTGCTCTTTTTCACTTACCGCCTTTTATTATTAATTTTCAGAAATATATTGTTTATCAGTCGGCAAATACAATTGTTACGATTTTTAAAAACTAAATTGAGTGAGAAAGAATAGGGTAACACAAATAACAATATAAAAAGCTCTAAAGACAACATTCAATTACACATTTATCTATCTATACAGAATGTATAAGTCACGCAGAGAGATGAATATTGTCAATCCCTAATGCCATATCAAATTATGATTTTTCCTGCGTTTCTATGATTATCTGAATTTCACAAATGGCGGCATCTCATGATTTATGTGTTTGTCCAATTCGTCACACACAAATTCCTTTGATTTTTCTCCTATTAGTGACAGCAATAGTAATAATAATATTATTATTATTATTACTGTAATGACAAGTGATATTGTGTATATTTTATCTCTGGCTAGTTCCCTCTCCCGCTCTTTCTTGTCATATTGTTGAAAGAAGTAAAAGTCAGAGGGATAAATGGGATACTCATATTTCCAGAACTAAATGAATGAAAAGTGTGTGTGTGCATCCGAGTGTGGATTTATTCATGAGAGTCTGTGTGTATATCTGGTATTTTGCTATTTGAAATTAATACTAGTCATTTTTCTTCAGTCGCGTTTACACATGATTAAAATGATCATAAGTTGTTTTTCAGTTTAAGAGACAAATGATTACTATTACTTGTGGTTGCTATGATTATCATAAACTATATGCTTATCCCTTGTATTGTCATCAATTATGGTGTATCTGTTTAAATTGTAGCTATTTTTCCAGATATATTATATCCAGGTTATCTAGTCAACATAACATTATAAAGTAAAGAGCCGGTATATAAAAATGAATGCAAACTTTTGAGTTTAATTAGGGAAAATCTCATGAACTTTAAACTATATTGAAATTATGTTATCACTTAAAAATCTTTTGATTTTGCATAAAGTAAATTGTGATAGAATCTGGGATTTATATGTTTACTAACATTCAAATGAAAAGTATATTCTTAACTGTTTATCTCAGCGATACTGTAACTGATTCACAAACGAAAAAGAATTACATGAATTGATAGTGAAACAGGTATTTTTACAGTGGGTTGTATGTAACTTTTAAATACACGCTAGATTCAGGAGTAATTACTGAATAAAAAAAGAGACCAATATTTTGAAATAATGGAAGTTTGTACCAAATGTTGAAGCTGTAAAAAAGAGTAGGTGTCGATAACGTCCTGAATAATAACTAAAGCTTCACAGTCACACCATTTAGTTCAGAGAACACAATACCAAGAATAAAATTATTTTATAATAGTTTTGTTTTTGAAACTCTAACTCCTCCCATAGAAAATTCACTTATTGATGATAAATCTATCTCTTATACAGATAGTCGAATTGATGAGAAATACGAATGTGAAAGCTTTGTTTGAATCTCACCGCTATGACAGTTGTGATCGTGTAAACTGATTTATGAATAAATGCAAGTAATAAGGTTAAGGCTGGTTTAAAAAGATATATTATGGTCTGAAGAAAGTGGGAGGAAATATGTCTAGTTAACCTCAACTATATACTCTTGAATACATAATTTTTATATTCAGGGTATTCTGCCAAATTTATACTCAATACTGGGTTATTAAAATGCTTTTTCTTCAAGAATATCAGTTAATATACACATTTATTACCAAATCTAACTGTATAGTATTATGAATCACACTCAAATCCTGGTGTCTATAGCCAGTTACAGATATATGAATGTTTTAAATTGTGATTTGTCTTAAAGTCAATAGTGTTGATATTTGAGTTGTTGACTGAAGAAATAGCATATAAACAATGAAAATTCCGATAAAGACAAAAGTTTCAACCAAGACAAAAGATGACTCATTTTTAATGATAGCATTTTGACTTAAGACAGAAGACCATAACCGCTTCAAGTAATTTCCATCTACCAAGATAGAAGAAATATGTTAAAATAGTTATTTTGTTTTATCCTGTGAAAATTTTTGTTAGTCATTCATCATTCACCCTTTTTGTTCTCTTTTCTGTCTAACGAGGCTGATTTTTAATTGTATGATTTATTTATTCATAATTTGGCGCCGCTTATCGTTTTAATTCGACTTAAATTAAACACAGATTATTAGGTGAATGAACCTGTCAATGAAAAAAGTGTATTTTGTTTAACGTGTTTGTCGAATATATTTGAAGGTCACCGAATTCATAACTCAGTGTTTATTGGGTGATTTAGATCAAATAGTATTTATAAACAAATACCATACACCTACGCAACAAATGAATTTTGTTAAGGCACATGCATAGGCATCAATAACTATGTATCTTTAAGTAGCAGTAATAAATGACAGCATTCTAAGCACCCATCAGTTGTCACGACATATTAATAGACTTTCTAGAAAATGTATAACTTGGTTAACAGACATTTTAATAAATAAAAAATCAATTTATTTGAAAATGTTAGACTGATACTCAGAGAATTAATATTTTCATATCAATGCATCTAATTAATGGAGTTAACTGTTAAATTACAATATAAACCAAATATGTAAACATTGTACCGAACTCTGTGACCAGTTGAAAATCGTTTTACTAGTGATGAAAGCCTTGAATTTGTTTATTTAAGAGTTGAAGTACAAATAATGATAAGCGTACCTACAATGTATTGAGGTACATATTATTTTTTTTAAGTTCTGAGAAGGTATATATTACATTCATTGTAATATATACGCTATTATTTTTTGAACTGATCATGGATACTAAGATGATAAATTTAAACGATAAACAGAATAACTTCCCCAAGAAATGATGTGTTATTTCAGATACTTGGTTTTATATAATTGGATTATGAATATTAGATAAAACTACCATAGCTTCACAGCACTTAAACACTGGATCCAACTTATTCTGTCTTCTCTTACTTGACTAATATAATAGTATTACAGAAGTTTCATTTTTCAGTAAACTGTTCGGACTGTATCACTTACTTTTACTTACTTACTTATGGCTGTTGCCCATCGCGGAGCATATGGTGCTGACCAGGAATTTGCAATCCACTCTATTTTTACCATTCTTTCCGGATGTTTTCAAATACTATTCACTCTTTTAATGCCTTCCTTCGATTCCCGGTGCACTGTGATCTTTGGTTTGACTCTTTCCCTTTAGCTTTAAAGATTTCAAGTTAATGCTTGATTTGTGATTACTTTCTTGTATTTATGGATATTTCTTTTCAGTTATTGTGTGAACCCATACACACTGTTGAACCTAACAACAGAATATACTCAAAAAATTTTCCAACAGAATTAATCCCAGTTGTCAAAGGATCAAGCACAGGTGAGAAATCTTTTATTGTGTAAGCAGTTAACTCCCAATTTCTATCACTCAACGAGTATTACATATTAATATTAGTTGAAGAAAGATCTTTCAGTACCATCACGATATTGCTCTACATCATCCTAAACAAAGAATATTAGATTAATGGTGTATTTAAGTATCAGTTGACTGGATCTACATGAAACATCACTAGTTTTAAAAATTTACTTCGGCACCAGTAATACCTAAGTCTTATTAGATTAGTGAATCACATTTCATAACTGACAGTAGTTACTTTTTGGACTTAAACGTATATTTGTATTCAAAGTAGAGAATACTCAGACAAATATTTGTCCTTGATAACCTCATTATCAGGTTTTATCGTAACAAACCTAAGATTATTTTGTCACAATGTAGACGTAAATGGATAAATCAATTTTATACGTTGCTGCATCAAGAAATTCACAGAATTAGCTCATATATCAATAAAAACAAGCATCTATGATAAGCTTAATCTCGGTTGATTGATTTTAAATATTACTTGCGTTGTCAAGACCGACTGATAATAGACCCTTTTTAATATTTAAACAAACATATGATTTATAATGAATTAATAATTTATATCTACATAGTTAAAATAGCAAACACTTTTGATTGACATCTATTAAGATAATTGATTGACATGTAATTAGTAAATAGATCACTTTCAGTCTGGTAGCATTCATTCGCATACATGCATTCACAAACAAGTCAATACCAGTGGTAATCTAAATTTAGAAATTAGTTCACAAATTAATGACACTGAATAGTCCTAATTTTCTTTTGAAATTCTGTTAAAATTAGTAACTAGATGATTGTTGAAGATTGGAAAGTACTGAATAGATATTTCATTCTAGTTTGAAACTCCTCTTTGGTTAACAACCACAAAGTCCGCCTGAAACTGAAACCAGAATATTTAGGTCATATAGTGAACCCATTCTCATTAAACCATAGAACTGGATCCGCTGGTTTATCACTCTTATTTGGAGTTATTTTAAGGTTTTACTAGAAATATAATTCAAATTCTAGCACCCTTACTGTCTAGTTTGGACGGAATTGCAACGAAATTTATACTGCAATAGTGCCTTTTCACTTTAAAAAAAACGTAGAAGTCGGATCATTGAACATTTTATCTTTATTCTGTAGGAATCAATGTTAAGGTTGTACTTGATAATTTTAAATTAATTGAACATTGGATAAACGGTTAATAATAACTATATTTGTGTGATATCTTAATGTGTAGAATAATTGTATTTCTGACGTTTCGTGACTTAATGAAAGTCAATTATTCAGAATAAATAAATAACTTGTGTTAATTTTATTTCAGTTATTTACTTACTCTGAAGAAGTGGCTTACATTAAGTCACGAAACGTCAGAAATACAATTCTTCCACACATTAAGATATCACACAAATATATTTATTATTTGTTATTAATTGTTTCTCAACTGTTAAGTGTTAATTTTCAGATAACTGAGAAAAAAGCCGCATTTAAATCATTTAACAATCAAATCAGTCAGGATTTAAACTTCAATTTAATTTATTAATTAATACCATTAAATTCTCTTTTAATTACAAACATCGTAACAAAGTTGATTTTGTTCTAAACATAATACTGACTAATGATACTTGTAAAATATGTATATGTGTGTTGTGACTACATTCCCGAAAAAATGAACTTATAATCTGATCACTACTTATATTGATTTCGACATAGGTTTAGCCTAAATTTTTTTCATTATATCATTGCAATTAGTAACAAACTTCTTCAGTTTTTAAATTTTGCATGTTCAGTGGGTTTTTTTCTTTAACGAGTCACTTTACTAAATAATTAAACTTTTCAAACAAATTACAATATTAAATAAAGTAACTCAGAGTTATAATAGGCAATTATTGATAATAGAACTATTATTCAATGGACATTAATTTGTGAAATGCTTTTATTTTGATCACCGTAAAATAATGAGTAATGTCTTGTATAACAGTCAAGTTCACAACATAATCACTAAGCTAACTCAATGAAAAATATAGGTAAATAACTTCTTTGTCATACATGAGGATATAATTAATAAAATAGCAAATCTCAAAGGTGTATTATCGACAATGGGCACTTGTTTTGACCAGTCGAGTAGTATTTATAGTTTGTACACATAGATTTCTTATATTTGAGTATAAGGACCTATACTTGGTTACAGAGTCAAATGGAGTCAATATTTTCAGACAAATTTTCCACCACGAAATGACACAAGTTGGAGAAGCGCTAAAACTGTGTTTTCCCAGTTCGAGATTACTATTCCGTATCCAAATACCACTCCATGTAGGCTTGAAACAAGCAATTTCAAATTTCACAGTGAACATAAAACATATCGATCAATGTTCCACGATAAAATAGTCAATACAAATCTATCTTTAACATATTACATTTCTCAGTAAAGTTTTCTTACCAACTGCTGCCTCACTTAGAATTTCGTTGATTGTATGTATTCAAAAGTGACCTCATTAACGAAATCATGTTAGTTGTAGAACGACTGAAAACTAGAGAGCACAGGTTCGTGATTGCAGATTATATTTACAGTATACGTACATCGTTACAAAATCACTTCGCTAATAATATTTTGGTTAAGAAAATGTAATTAACAGTTAATAACGATTTAAATTTGATTTTAAGAAACATACATTTCTGGTAGGATCCATTCGGTTCACTTACCTGTGCACTAAAATATTGAATTTTAAGTATTCTCTATATTAAATCAGATTACTTTCAATAAATAACATCATCAAAACTGTCACTATTCGTATAAATATTTATCAGTAATCTAATTTATGTATATATATAACCAATAAACATCTACAAATACCTTCCTTTTCTGCTCAACACACATATACAAATAAGTTGTTTATTAAAAACTTTAGTATTTGACTGATATGTATGAAATCTGTCAACAAGAAGAAAAAAATCTTGACTGAATTGATAAACTTATATATATATGCAATGAATAAGAAGCTATTTATCAATTATGTCGTCGGCAGTATGATAAACAACAGTGTATTTTGTATACACTTAGTAAAATGAACAGTACATACTGTATATACACTTATTACTATTATATGATTGTAATGACTACCTAGAAGTATCATATAATCCGGTTGTTTAACAATATCACTTTTGAAATGTTACAAATTGAGCTAGTAATTATACTATTTATTTTAATCCAAAAACGAAGAAATATGAGTCTAAAATTATTCTTAATATTTCCCTGATATTTAAGGTTAATAAAATTACCTTCATGGTTATGCATAACCAACTAACTAGTCTAGTTTATTATCCAGAGTGACGAGGTTTCAAATTGTTTCCACATAATTTTCTTTGTTATCCTTGTCTTTTCTTACCCTCCATTTCTAGTTTAGTTGACCTTATATTTTTATATATACATATTCTTGACAAGTATATGTATGATCAGATTATTCGTAATGTATTACGTTAATATATAACATAGTTCTGATAATCTTCGTCTTCTTATTACACTATCGAAATTTATCAAGCGGAATAATTGCGTCAAACCTGATATTCATCCATAGCTGGGACTATTCAACAAAATCAATGTTTACTGAAGTTAATTCACCTCACAAACTTTTAATAATGAAATAAACAACAGAAGCCTCTTGTTCATGAAACTTTGCAATACACAAAAGTAACATAAATTCTTTAATCGAAATTCAAGTCTTTATTATACACAATTATACACCAATGTTTCTGTCAAAATACTTTTTAATAAACACCAAATAATGGCCGTCTCATCATTAGAGATCTATTGATTATTTGTGATAAATCTATAACTAGTTTGTCAACTGATCCACCGATTCTATCCTACTTATTGTTCATATGTGAAGGTATACGTGTATTTGATTCATATGAGCTAGTGTGTTCATTTTCAAATATGTTTGTATGTGCATCAAAATCTGTCAGTCCAAAACTTGAAGTTTTTATTCACCGTCAATGTAATTGATTTTAATGCCGCTCTAATATATATATATATATATAATTTTTGGCAGGTTCAGGCAGTCAGTCAGTCAATCAGTCGTTAGCCTAGTAATTTCTACCCGCTTGTCACGCCATGACCAGCTATTATTCGTTGAACGACCCAACTACCGCTTTTCACCATTTCTTAAATATATATTTAACCATAAGATTATAATGTATGTAAATGATAATTGCTTTAATTAACATTACCACAACCACCACCCCCATGTATACTATGACGTCCATCACTCAAATCTCCCCATATATATATATATATATATATATATATATATATATATATATATATATATATATATATATATATATATACATATATATTATTCGTGCATGCTTTTTATCCAACGCCCTTAAATAACTCGAAACATATTTACTAATAATTCAACTCCATGTAACGCGTGAACACACATGTACAAATACAGACACACGCACATAAAACACACCCATGGGAGTATTCCGATTACAAAAACCTAAAGCCAGCCATAGTAATTTTCCTATCAGTCGTAATGACTACGAACAAACATAGTACGACTCAATAGATTGCAGCAGAAATGTTTGTTTGTGTTGCATTAAAATTTTTAGCCATTTAGACACGTGGGAAGATTGATTAGTTTATTTATTTATCTTTTTCTCATTATTTCCATATATAGAAAGAGACTTATTTTGCTCTAGTGTCGTTCTGACTTTTTAGCACAAGGAAGATATCTATTACCACTTTTTGTGTCATTACTAATAATACCATTACGACACATTCTCTCTCCCCAATGATTTTTTTCGTTCTATGACATTTATCTACCGGCAGATAAATTGATAATCCAGGAAAAAAATAGAATAATGTCAATCATATATGAATTTGCTTTGGTTTACGATTTGTTTGGTCAGTCAAAGTTTGGGATTGTTAAGCGTTTCATCTTGGCATATAGAACAGGGGTTTTCAATATTATATATATATATATATATATATATATATATATATATATATATATATATATATATATATATATATATATATATATATATATATATATATATATATATATATGGATAGATAGATTTGTGTACACGGCGGTAGAGAATGATTTATGTATGAAGTGCTTGTCTATATGCTTACTACGAAGGTAGTCTATTCTTACCGACATATTTATATATAATTTTCTGCTGAACTATGTATGTATGTTTGTATGCGGATGTAAATGAGTGTGTAATTACTTTGACAGATGCATATTAAAAGGCATATTGTAAATACACTCACCTTATACATGATCACAAAGCTAATGATCCAACTGACATTGATTGATAGAATTTTAAATGTGCATAAATAAGTTTTGTACACTTACACTGACATAGATATATATATGGTATGTTCAATCAATTTTTAAAAGTTTTCTGTTTCTCTTTCACTTCCTCAAAGCTAGTTTGATTATTGTGAGCTAATCCAAATCACTGTATAGAAAACAAAGAAACTTTATCACATATAAAATCATTGAGATGATTTTATACAGAAAAATAAAGTATTTATCTTTAGAAGAACGTAAAATACAAAGTCACGGTGATATCATAAAAATAAACTAATTGTTTATTGTAAAAATAACAACGAACATACTAATCAGTTCTAATGATTAGTTGCTAATTTTCATCATGATTCCTACTAGTAGCCTGACGCTTAGCAGATTATTTTGAGGTGAACTACTGACTTCACCTGAAAGCGGTGAGAACTATAGAGCTATTTGGTCATGTTACAGAACTACTCAGCAATTTATGCATACAATCACACAGGATTGAGCTCAAAAACTAACTATCTCATGGACAGTACGGTATACTTAACCTACTGTAACATAATCTAATGGATTATGAAAAACACAATCATTTTAAGTTTTCAGAAATTAACTAATCCTTATTAGCAATTAGTCAGGGTTAAAACGGTTATTTTATACACTGCATAAAATAGGTGATGCATTTCAGAAACATTTTTGTGAATATCAATGTGTTCCCTAAATCTCGATTGTACTTAAAGTCAGTGTTTAGTTATATATTAACAGTGAGATGGGATAACTGTCCGAAATAAATTAGCTCAGTTATCCACTATCACAGAGAGATATATCACCTTTGTGTGTTTCGAACATTGAAGTTTAATTTTTAACATGTTACAAGTTGGTAAGTTGCGTGGATGGTTACTTAGTCTGATACTGAAATATCATTAATACCACTAGAATTTTCTATCTCACTTAAACAACTGGAATTAAGTATATATGTACATAAATATTGCGGTAGGCTGATATACAACCTAAATTTTATTATTATATTGAAAAATATAAACTATCTGTCAATATTCAATAGCGGTTTCCTGTCAAGTGTATGGCAATTCCAAATCATTTTTAGAAAAAAAATCTGCTTAAACTGTCAATATATATATACATCGCCTGATGGATTGAAACTGCCTAGGATCAAGAATAAAATGGCGTGATAATGTGATGCATTGATGCATTTAATAATGTCTTGAAAATAACGGAACACATATTTCCTTACAATAAGTCGATATTTATTAAAAGAATATATAATTAAACAGCTTTCTCTATAGGAAGGTAATAGGTTACAATGAAATATGAATCATAAATTTGTATTTTTCCTAGTCAAAGAGTGTATTTTAAAGTTTGTTTTAAGTTTTAAATATGCATATACACCATTATTTCACGAACTATAAAGTGACCGATTATAATGTAACGTAGAGTTTCCTCATCAATATCCGTATAATGGAGATAACGATGGGAATACATGTGTAAAAGTCGAGTTATTACTATCACTTTCATATTAAAAATGTCAATAGTGATAGACTTAAAAGATAATAATATAGTTATTTGTTTATTTTTTTGTTTCGAATGATGTGTTTTGAACTAGCAAATCTATGGTTCCAATAATCTTCATATAAATCAGTTAGAATAAATGGATAATATGTTAAACTATCACACAATAACCCTGTAATTGGTTAATAAACCACAACATTTATTACAATACAATGTTTAATTGAATAGTTTTATTGCTAAATTAATATTTTCAATTCTTAAGAGAATATTTTTTATCATCCGATTGTGTAGTTACTAGTTATATTGCATTATCATCATCGGTGTACCAATCTATGGTTCAGCTTCTACAGAGAATATATCGAAATTCTCCATAGATTTATCACTTTACATAACATAAAAATTGAACGAAGGCAGTATAAGCATGGAACAAAATATATCACATATTCTCCTTATCCAGTTTGATTCATACACTTTCACTTCTATGTTAATCTATCTGATTGTGCATACAGTTTTATTGAGCACAAAACTTACTAGGTCAATCAATAACTCATCGTATATATATATATATATATATATATATATATATATATATATATATATATCTTTATGTGATAGATAGATATATACAAAAGAAAATGAATAATAAGGTAATTAAACTTTTCCATCCTTCACTTTGATAACAAGAAAAGTAAATGAAAAGAAGAAATTAATTAATTAAGATAATAACAGAATGAAATAAATCCGATTTAAGATAAAAGATGAAAAGAAACGAAACCTTAACAGTAAACAATCATACACATATATAAATATGCTTATTAAATAATTTATATGAATCAAAATTTTGCTTCGATAGAATTTATTGCTTTTTATGAAAGAAAATTTTGTTTGTATTACATTTTAATGATGGTATTCAATTGTTCGAATGTATGATCATACCTGTGTATATATCCTATGACCTTCTTTGAAAGATTTTAAATAAAGAATAAGTGATGACATTCTGTCATATTATTTGTCACATGAACATTAAATTTAGAAGAAAAAAAAATAATTGAATGATAATCATATTGATGTAACATACTTTGACAAACCAAATAAGTATTTTGTAAGAGAGAATAAGAGAAAATGAAAGTTTATTGAATGATAGGACTTGTGTGTGTGTGCGTGTGTGTTTGCTCTTAAATTAAAATGTTCCCATGATGGAGATGAGTCACTTAATAGTTTGGTTTAGTGATATAAAATAACTTGTCAGGTTAAATTCTGGAGACTTTTTTCTAAAATTAAGAAACATTGGACAAATGGTTGACTATTTAGTTTGGAACTCTATTTCGAATCTAGTAACACAATATTCATTGGAAAGATTAATTTTTCGTCAATTTCTTTTAGTGTATAAATAATGATCTAATAACTAATTTCTGATTTATTGAAGTGTTTCTCTAAAACCGTACATGTGTGCCAACCTGCTGAAAGACTCTGGTTTGGCTTCAAGATTAATTCAATCAAGAAAGCTTCAAATGTTAGCAACCATGATTTAAGGAATAAAACGTTTAATTGATGAATACAGTATGATCGGCATATCCACATATTTATCGTTATTTTATGTGTATACTATATTGAATCCGATAATATCTAAAGTTATGTGTGTATGGTTGCATACAAATTTATATGTTTATATACTAATATATCTTCCCACGCATTATTCATATTTATCACTGACAATTTACTGACTTTTCTCTTTTTTTCTTGTTTTGTCGGTGCTTTAGAAATTACAAACTGTTAATTGTATCGTTAAAATAGACTCTTTTCTTGAAGACGAATCAATTTTAGTTTGACAGATATACAAACATAACACATTTACTTAACAAGTACTGTACACAAAACAAGTTAACTTTTCATTTTTCATATGATTATGCCATGTGTGGGAATTTTATCACCTATAATCATGGACACATCATCATCTTCAACTAATCAAATTAACACTTGTAGATCAACTGATTTTAGCCTACCTGAAATTAACTCACCATCATCACATACCCTTGAAAATTCTGATTATATGGGATCAGGACACCGGAAAAGCAGTAATAATAATATTGATATAAATAATTCCAATAAACCTCAGAATTGTTCGCCCGATTTATCACATTTATCGTATACAATGGTTAGTACTCCACAGCCTCCTCCATTGGACTTGTCCAATATACCGACTTCTCCGAGTAAATCTCAGGCTATAGATTTTATGGAGGTATCAAGTGGGAAGATACAAAACTCTCCAAAAACGATTGGTTCCCTTGAAACGAATACTACTTCTACCACTGTTACTGTTACTGTCACTACTACTGTTAGTAGTACAGCAGATACAAATCATGATGCATCTGTTAATAGTAAATCAAATATGAAATATGAAGTGAATTCAAATCCACAAGATTTAAATCCTATCCTTCCCACAATAGAAAAACTAGTCAATGTTAACTGGATCGAAGCATTAAAACAATATACGGAGCCACATATGACAATAAAAACAAATACCAATGAGTCAAACTTAGATAATGAAATAGATTTAACTAAAACATCTGAGCATACCAACAATAATAAATTAAATAATGAACAAATAAACTTGAATTCACAGACACCATCTCCAGATCTTACTGCCCATTTTCAAGCAATAATAACTAATTTAAGTGAATTCTTATTTAATTCTTCACAACTAACGAATTTTCCCAAAAATCCTATGATTGGTAACTTAAGTTATTCTTCGCCATCTTCAGCAACAACTACTAGTGTATCATTATCTAATAGTTCTACTAGCCAAATAAATTCAGATAACTTGAAGTTCGATAATCGAAACCAACAATCGACCAGTTTATCGAATTCTATATATCCGCAAAACTATATTGAACATCAAACAGGCTACAATATGTTCAATGCTGCTGATCTTAGTTCAACGAATCCATCATTAGCAATAACTGCTTCTTTATTAAGTTTGCTAGTTGGTGGTCAAAAACCAAGTCCATTTCTTGAACAGTCATTAACGCAACCTTCTACTTACTCCAAGTGTCCAATATCTTCGCCAAAATCTTGTCAGTCTCCTGACTTTTACCCTCAACAGTTTTTAGGAAATACATCTATAGTACCTCCACCGCAACCAACCCCATCATCGTCACAAGTTCCTCCATCGAAATTTTCCAAATCACCAGTTACATTACAACATATGCCTCTTCAAAGTTCTCTTAGTCCACATCGGTCACTAGCACCTACATCATGTCCACTAGTAGATTTGCCTAATTTGAATGAATCAAAATCATCTGATCCACGTGATCTGCTTTACCAACTTGGACAACAGCTAATGGCCATGGCAACATCTGGTATAAATGGTACAAGGCCTAGTTTAGATTTATGGAATATGAGTAACACGGATGGCAATTATAATTCATTAAATTTAACATCATTAAGCAATCGTTCAAATCCTGCATACATTCAGCCACATATTAACTCAAATACTGGTCATATTCCTGAACAAGTCAAGTCACCATCCTTATCATCATCGTCATCTTTAGTACCATCTGTAACATCATCATCATTTAATACAAGTGGACTGGAAAAGAGTTTTCACCAAATTCCACCCCCACTTCAACAACATCATCCTAACACGAATACGGGACCCTTTAGTGGAATATCAATGCGTGGTAATCAAAAATACAGTGCATATTATCAACATCAAAGGAAACAAGGTTTTCAGACAGGTGGAATGAATGAATATGTTAATAATACAGTTGGCAGACGTCAAAGAAACTCTCTTAGCCCTTTATCGACAAATACACGTTATGTAGGACGTCGTTTAAGAAGCGGCTTAAATAATACATTACTATCTGGTACAAACTTAGAAGTGAGGAATTCACAAAGATTTCCAGCCATAAGAAATCAAACAGCATCAACTGGAAATACTGCTAATACTACTAATAGTAACAGTAATAATACTGGCAACACAGTTAGCGGTAGTGGCAATTTATGTCCAAATTTTCGTGGGAACACATCATACCGAATGATGTCTAATATAGGAAATATAGCTAGCAGTCATGTACTGAATCCTATAAAATCTCATCTTCAAGCCGAAAATATGAATAACACTACTCATGGACATATTAGTAGTAATAATAGCAGTAACAATAATTCATCTCAACAGACTACACGTCATCGTGAAACAGCATTCATATGTAGTTGTGGCAAAGATTTTGAAAGTCTCTACATATTTACTCTGCATATGAAAGATACTGGGCATAAACCAAAATGTGATCAAGCTGAAAAGGATATACCGAAATTGGTTAGAGGTCAGGATATGTGGATTAATAGTGAAACAGAACAAACACGTGAAATACTTCGTTGTATGCGTTGTCATCAATCATTTCGTAGTCTTCCTGAGCTTACAATGCACATGATGAAAACAAACCATTATTCCGAAATAGTATACAACGATTCTGGCCGTTGTGTCTTTGTTAATCCTGATGATAATCGACGAGGTAGTAGTAGCACTGCGGGTTCTAGTCATTATTCTGGAAGTAGTAACCTATCTCAAACACCCGGAAAGTCAGGACTACCTGTTATTGGTACTTTCAGTGGGAGGAGATCACATCGAAATATGAATATGAATTGGTTAAATAACACTCAAACTAATAATTCTAATGCACGCTTATCATCTAATGAAGAATTGAATTCTGTAATGAAACAGAATATTAAACAACATACGCTTACATGTGATAAATACGATACTGATAATTCAGGAGAGATTTCGAAACGATTTGGACATTTAGATGATGAAAAACATCTTATAAAGTCTAATCAACTTTCTACTTCTAAAGGATACCGTGAAGAAGGGAAAATTGAAGATGGAGAAATCCAAGATAAATATCAAGTAGATGCTCAAAATAATGTTAATTCATTATCATCACCAACATCATCTCAACTCGGTGTCTCTTTATCGCCATCTTCTACATTATGTAAAACTGAAGAAGAAAATCAACAGTCTGCAAAATCATCTTTAGTGTATGATGATGCTTTAGATAAAATTACTAGAAAACAAGATACAGAATTATCGGAAAGTGAAAACAACAATAATGTTCTGCAAAAAATGGAATCATTCGTTGATATATCAATAAATAATAACAGTTTATCAACTAAAAATGAATTATCGAGTCAAAATTTTATTCAGTCCACTTCACCTGAGTCTGTTATCAGTGTTGTGGAAAGAAATTCTCCAACAATGAGATTATCACCAAAATTACATCGTAAACGTACTTACTCGGAAGCTGGTATCTCTATTAATTCAGTTTCAGATATTCCAACTAATAATACTTCCACATCTATTGATACTGTTTCCTACACTCCAACTTCTAGTCCTGTTACTACGTCAAGAAACGAGTTAAATTATGATGAGAAACTTGATTCTGATATGACAGTAGATGATAAACAAGTAATACCAAGCACTTCTAATTCATCAAATACATCATCAAAAGTATCTAGTACAAGTGAAATAAATAAAAATTTCTCTGAAAGTCCCTTATCTTCCTTACAAAAATTAGTGGATACAACACATAAACCAGTTAAATCTTCAAGTATATTAAATCCCAGTAGTTCCACAAATTATTCCAGCTTAAATTTAACAAATAATAACATGATATCGAGTAATACTAATAACAATAAATTTTCCAGATCTTCAGGCTTAACTAACACAACTACTGTTCATTCACAATATTCACCGAATAAATCCGGTATGAATACATGTCCTAATTCACCATATTCTGTTCATTCCACAATTTCTTCTGGCAAACTTCAAACAAGTCCTTTATCATCACCAATAGCAGAAAATGATAATTTAATCCCTGCATTATCAGCATTATATGCTTATGTTGAAAGATCATCATCATCATCATCATCAACGCAACTTCGTGATAACCAGTGTAACTTTAAAAACGACTTAGCTTCTCCGAATAATGGTATTAATAATAATAATAATAATAATAATAATAATAATAATAATAATAATAATAATAATAATGGTAATAATAGTAGTAACAATGATAATTGTGAATTAAGTAAAGATAATTTATCATTTAATAATCCTGATAAATTAAGTGATATTAATTCCAGTGTATCTTCACCGTCTTTGCTAAACCACTTATCAACTTCTACTATTAATTTCAATGCACCTAACTATCCATGTAATAACGATAATGCAACATTATTATCATCCCAGTCATCACCACAACATTCAGCAGTTATGTCACAGATGTTGCCAACATTTCCAATACCTACTCACCCATTGATACAAGCAATTTATGACGCTGCTATGTCTAACTTAGCAGGACAGTATTTAAATCCACAAATTTCTACTTCTTCAAGTAATACATCAATCAATGACCCTTTAAATACTTTTAAATATGCTGTAATGAATTTTAAAGAAGCATTAGATTCATTTGAAGTTAGTTCGACAAATATACAATCCAATGTAATACAAACACCACCATCATCATCATCATCAACAACAACAACCCCAATGCTACCATCAATCGGGAATAATAATGGAAATGATGGACATACAATGGATTTAGCTAACAACTGGCTTAACATGTTACGTTCATTAGTTGAAAGTACGGAAAAGTCCGATGGAATTAATTCTGGATGTTGCAAATCGATTAATTCTTATTCTGAATCACCAAACTCCAACATTAGTACTGCTTCAGACAGATTTGGAAATCACCGATTGGATGATTTTACTCATCATTCATCAAATCCGAAGTCATTGCCCACCACTGCAGTACATGAACAGTCCACATCGAATACACAACAGAAAATGTTACCATCTTTGCAAAATGATTCAATGCATTTAAATTATTCTTTAGCAATGAATCGTAATAGATCAAATTACTCATATAATCCAACTTTACCATCTTCATCATCACCCATGTCAACAACAGTGATGAATACACCGAATATGTTGCCAGTTAATCGATCAACAAATATTTCATCATCATTTCATTCAGTGATAAATAGGAGTTTAAGTTCTTATACTACTGCTAATAACAACAATAACAGTAACAATATAAGTAGTAATATCAATAATACCAACAATAATAACATAATGACAACAATTACTAAAAAAGCTAAATGTCACTTTTGTGGTAAACCGTTCGCTAATAAAGGCCAAGTACGATTGCATATTAGTAAAAATAAATGTCCATGTCTGCTTCAACAATCATGTCATGTAGCAGCATTAACAGCTGCTTTCGGATCGAGCACTAATAACAATACTAATACAGTGACAAATAATAATAATAATAGTGTTCGAAAAATACCACAATCTGTTGGAACAGTTAAATCAAATCCAGTTAACACTTATTTATCTTCCACTGTAACTAAACGTAATAACAACATTACCAGTGGTAATACTATTATTGCTACTACTAATAATAGTAACATTAGTCAGAACTTTACTGATTCAATACATCATTGCACATCTAATTCTCTTGGATCTAATTCAAAAGATGATTTGACGAGTGCTCCATCTGCTTTGAGCTTGTTGAAAGAGCGATTCCAAAATTATGATGTTAATCAAAATTCAACTAATTATCCCAACTTCTCTTCATACTTACCTACAAATGTAAGTAATTCGTTGGAACTTAAATTAACACCCGCATCATCTTCTACGATAGCATCACTGTCATCTTCAAACAGCGTTTTTCCATATTCAAGTAAGACTTCCACGGCTTCAATGCCGATATCATCTTCCATGTCCAATATGTCATGGTTAGGCGGGTTAAATTGTACACCATCATTCCCAACCTCTCAGTTAAATAAAGATGCTGAATTTATGAATACTTCAATTCCAGGGGCAGCTTCTACCGCTGCTGCTGTAAATGCAGGTCATCTGGCTGCTATGGCATTGCTTGCTCAAACTCTTGTCCAGTTAAAAAATGCGTCACAATCACCTTCAACATCTAATCCACCCCTATCCCAGTTGATGGACAGTGTTAACAGTAATATCAGTAAGACCAATATGACTTCGCCAAAACCGAATTCTTCGGAAAATTTATCTGAACCAAATAATCCTCTATTACCACTTATTGCTTCAAATTTGCTTAATTTAAAACCTTCAAACCAAACAACACAATCTGGTACGCCATTCAATTTCAATTTAGAGAGTCTGTTTAATCAGATGAATATGGCAAAGCAGTTGAACTCATTTAATTGGCCAATAAATAACCAAGCAGTGAATATAGATGATAATCAGTCATATCGACAACCTCAACAATCTCAGCAACAACAACCACAAAATTAGTAGTAGCAATAATATTAGTAATAATCTTGATAAATAGATGGATTAAAAATTGGTCATCTTAATTCTAACTATGAACTTATTCTTTTTATATAGGTCAGTTATTTAAGTCATCAATTCACGGTGTTCCATTTCCATCAACACCTTCCAGGTTTATTTTCGTTCAATAAATTTGCAATATACATAATTTTCACTGGGCTTATAAATTATTCTTATTTCTAAATAACCTTAACATAAATTGTCAATCATATAGAACCAATCAGTAATATAATCTACAAATTATATTTTTTGTTTGGTCTTATGTTGAGTCAGAGCGCCATGAACAATAATTTGAAGAAAAAAAGGACAAAAACAAAATAAAATTAATTTACTTTGAGAAAATTTACATTATTCATACTGGAAAATATTCCAACTTTGAAATACTAATCCAATACTACTTTTGATATTATTTGCTTACACAATTACCATAACACTTTTTTCCCTTTTAACTATGTATGTATAAAACTGACTTATTGGTGTCCGAAGACCCTTTCTTCTTTGTAAATACTATAAATATTACTACTGTTTGTGAATTAAACATAGAATGTTAAAACTCCTAATACTACTGTTAATCAAAATATCGACAATCTTCAAATGTGACATTACAAACTGATTTCGTAAATTGTAATAATTCTACTTAAAAATAAAATCATTAATAATCTATCAACGGGAAGGTATACTGACAATAAATTATTGTGATAATTATTGGTTGAATTGTTTCCTATTTTTTATTGCTTTAATTATGATCCTCTATTTTCATCTCTTCAACGTTTCTTCATTTGTTATTTGTGTTTTTTTTGGGGGGGGGGTCGATGAAACTGAGAGTCCTGCCTAGTCGTTTCTTATATCATGTCTCATTATAACGAGATGGTTACTCTAAGTAGCAAACTACTGTAAGATTTGTAATATTGTTCAATACCATATTCATTCTGTCATTTATTTATTGGTAAATCAATTATCTGATCAGTTAGTAATTATAGTTTATTCAGAATTAAAGATGTTTAACGAATTATTTTCTCTTTGTCGTTCTTTAGTGATTTCAAACATAGTCATTCTCGTTTCATGACTACGATATTCTTCTACTTTACTCACCACTGAAAAGGGTTTTAGTCTTTATTAAATTTCTCTTTGAAACAGCAAGTAGGAAACCTACCATTACGTTGCTTTTTCAAGTTTTCTCTTTTAATCTTTATTGTGATTTTTTTCTTCTTACCTGCCTACTTAATTATTCATTTAGTTTTTAGTTTTCGTTCAACTATGATATATATATATATATATATATATGGAAATGTATGAGAGAATCACCGGTTAAATTGTCCGCTTTCATGTTATTGTCATTGTTGCCGTCGTTTCTTTTCGCATTTTTCTCTTATTGTTCAATTTTTTTCCTTCTTTCGTATTTCCTCTGTATGTACAAATGTCATATATATATACTTAAATCTTTAAAATAAATAATATTTCTGAGCAGTTATACTAATGCTTCTCTTCTCATCGTATCATTCAAGTGGTATGTCATTTAATAAAGAATATTTATGAGATATTATTCCACTAATATCCTACTATTAACTCATCTTCATAAACAATTATGAATAAGCTACTGAAAGCTCTTAAACAGGAATATGATTATCAAGTGTACAAATTTCATGAATCAATGAGCTGTATAATTGGATCATTGTTTTTATTGATCGATGTAGAAGTGGCCTTTCTAATGTTTCAACAAAGAAAAGTTACCTTCAGCAACTCCAGTATTATAATTGTATATAATCCTCCTAATTAACTTGAAAAGCCTTAAAATCTGTCCAACTAGAAGAATAAAGTGAGATCATCTTATTTCGTTAGGTTTTTATTAGTTACTTACAGTTCATAATAATTCAGCAAAAAATATCTAAAACGGAGTTCAACATATAGAAGTGAATTTGATCTTATGTTGTAATGTAATCATTTATCAACATTGTGCATATAAAAAATAATAAGATTTTGCAAATGAACATCACTAACGATATATGATTCTGGAACAAAAATTATGACTGTATCAAGGGGCTGTAGTACCTAGACCAAGTGAAGGGATGATGATAGTGATTAACAATAAAGCTACGTAATTCTGATCAGCTGAAAATTTTAAAAACATGAGTTAGAAAAAAAGTTAAAAACCGATACAGTTGAATAAGGTTTTTGTTTTGACGATTAAAAAAACTCTATTAAGTAAATCCTAAGTATACAAATTAAAATTTTGGCCACCTGAGAAGTTCAAATCTAGCGAATTTGAGAGGACCAAAGCCTGTTTGTATGTTAATCACTTCGCAAGATTTCGTGTCAATGAGATAAATAAAAATTCAAATATAGATCGCTTTTGTCACATTTTAAACGAAGGATTTTTTTAGACATTTCCAAGGATTCTGAGTTATATTCTTCTTTCAGTTCTGCCGTTGTAACTAATTTAGTGCACAGTAGTCTATACAGATTGTTAGCAGTAATAAACTAATCAGTATTATACATCGGAAATACCTGGTTTTACGTCTACTACAACTTAGATACTGATTAATCAAGTCGAATTATACGGTGATAAAAGAAAGGCATGATACAATTGTAGCAAGGTGTTCAGTCATGATCATGTATGGTTTAAAATGGAAAAACGGTCATTTTAGAGT